ATTTTACTATAGTTGTATTGTTTAACATGTTCAATAATATGTGGAGAGTTTTATTGGAGTATTTGGATCGTTTTCACTAAACATTTCATTATTACCACGCTTTTGTGCTAGCAAAATCTAATCTAAAGCAAAATCTCTAACAAGACCGTCGATATAATATATAATAATACACTAAGCTCAATTTGAAACGTTCTACTCAATTCGACTGGTATCAAAACTGTTTCACCTAAGCATAATAAGCAGGGTATCGCTCTACGAATGAATAACGTAATACACACGATGTATAATACACATTTCATATAATACTCATATTGTATACGAGTATATATAATATAATACATATATTATGTACAGAATTTACTGTGATATTACGATATCTCATCTCACGCGTTTATACGAGAAATAACCAAGATAACTCGTAGAAATATCCAAATCCCATATATTTTTTTTTTATATTAATTCACATTTTACTGAATAAAAACATCAGTGGCGGATCCACGGGAGGGGTTTTAGGGGTTAACCCCCCCAACATCACGAAAAATATATAATAAAAATCAATGAAGAAAAAGATTTTTTTTTTTAAAGTATAAGGCAAAGTATATTAATTTTTTTTTTTTATTCGTACAAGAAGTAAGTTGTCTTAGATTTAAATAAATGTATTATACTGCTGATTATTATCTTAATTAAATTATTTCATACACTTAAATAAAATTTTACAATAAAATTAAAAGTTTTGAATTAAATTTTTCTTGTTTTTTGAAAAATTCTTCAAAAACCTCATCAACTGATACATTAATATCTTTATGAATATTCATAGAAGCTAGACCATTGAGCCTTTTTTGACCTGTTGTATTTCGCAGATAGGTTTTAATTCTTTTTAAACTTCATTCAGGCGTAGCTATTGAAACGGGCAAGATTGCCATTATACGTAAAATTTTGAAAACATTGCCAAAAGACGAATGTGCACTACTGCATTAAAAAGTAAAAACCCTTGATCAGTCACTGACCGCAATATTATAAATAATATCCCAAGTGCCAAAGAAAACAATTTTCAAAACCCCCCCATAAAAAAATCCTGGATCCGCCTCTGAAAAACATATTTACCTTTTTTTTGTACCTACCCGTTGAGCTACTATTGAGTATTGATAGAGCTATTGATGTAATAATACCTTAAGCTTTAAGTGTATACACTGAGTATACTCAGAGTGAGGATTAAAATAATTTTCTAATTTACAACACGCGAAAATTTTTTTCTATACTATACAATTATTTTATTATATTAAACGTAATATAGTAATAATATGTAATATATTAATGAACAACACCGTTCGAAAGTATTGTGCATGTGTGCACCTTCGACGCTCGACACTCAACACTCCAATGCGCGGCCTAAGATCTTTTTTCAAGGGTACGTATGCGCGGCTTGTTTGCTGGGAGCTAGCGATCCGTAATGCGGTTTAAACCAATTCACATTGACGTCGGTTTTCGAATTAAAAACGACACTTTAATCAACCAAGTGTTATTCCACTTCGATATCAAACCTTTTGCCATTTTCAAATCCACCCATTGTAGATCTTTTTCACTACAAGCAATCACAGGTTTTCTCGTCTATCAATTTGTCAAAATCTTGATAAAACAGCAATTGATCCGCGATATATTCCAACGGATTATCGATTACGCGCTAATTTTGTCAAAAAAACCAAATAATACCGTATTCGTTAGATATTGCGCATACGCTCATTTTAAGTATACTTCAATTCCTAATGGAATACGTTCCGCACATTTTTGTATTTTAAAGAAAAAAAAATTATTTTACCTAATGCTATCAAAAGCTAAATATTATTAGTAGCTGAATTATAAAAAAAATAAAAAAAAAATAATAATATTTACAAATGACTCTTTACGTAGTTGCTCAATTCTAATATGGCTTAAGTTAAAACCACTGGGTTTACCACATTCTGAGTTTTATTTAGTGGTGCATAAAGGTATAAATGGTCAGGTCTTCCAACTCTAGACAATGCCACATGTAAAAAACAGTTATTTTCCAAATCTACACCACAGTAAGTTAAATTCTGACGTTGGGCTTTGTTTATTGTCTTTGCAAAACAGACTTTTATTGGAAATTTAACTCTTCTAAACTTAACTGAAAAATCGTTGGGATATAATGGTTTTTTTGGTAATATTTTTTCTCCCTTAGCACATTCGGTCTAAATTTCAGCTTTAATGACATTTTTTGTAAGAGAGGGTACATGGATCCTAGTCCCATTACATAATCTAGAAGAATTCAAATTTTTCAATAATATGATTGGAACTCCCACCTACAGTAATATTTTAAGAGGAGGCATACCAGATGGTATTTGTGAATTTAAAAACTCGGTAGGAAAATGTACCGATTCTTCACTATTAATAACTCTATCGATAGAAAAGTAATCCATTTCTAGTGCTTGAAAACCACTAATTATTAGCGAGTTTATTGAGTCAGCTCGGTTATTTGTGGTTGTCAAAATAACATGGTTTTCCATATAATCCTACATAAGTTATAGCATCTGTAATCGGTTAACTCCTATTGTTATTATTATATGAATATAAATATACAAATTACACGTAAATAATTATTTTTACCGATTTCAACCCTTTCAACCAAAATCAAAATTTTGAAAATCGGATGACGTTATGACACTTAGGAAGGTATTTGGAACAATTCTGTGAAAAAAAATTGGAAAAAGTTAGATAGCGTCGTCACAAAATGGGTACATAAAAAAAGCCTGTTCTTTTATACATTTATATATAAGGATTACAAACAAGGAAATTGTGGTTTATAGTAGAAAATAACACAATACCAGTAAAGAATGGATCTTAAAATTGAATATAAAACAATATAATATAATAGAATTTATTATTTTTGATATTTTTAAAAAAAAAATTTGACACAAAATAATTGAATGTTATTTAAATATGAAAAACAAAAATTATCTTTCTTCAATCTTAATTTTTTGAAAACCTTTGAATGTAATCTTTACCTAAATTGTGTACTCAATATGGTTTTTATAGTTTATACATATTGTTAAACATCAATTTTAAACAACAATAATTCTAGATACATCAAACAATATTTATTACATCAATATTTGTAATTTTATTTAGATAAAGATAAAAGATAAGATGATATCTGCTAGAGTAAATACATTTTCAAATTCTAATCTAAACACGCATGCGTACAAAGTCTTATAGGGCAAAATTAATCTGCATTTTTTATCGATTAAAAATTCCATTTAGAAGAAAATGTTCATGTACCAGACTTTGTGATTATCTAAGTCCGGAGAACAATTTCAATTATACAAATACGTATTTGAAATACATTTTTAGAATGTACTCGTAGCGAGTTTGCAGATAAAATCTACGCAACGTATATCCATGAATAAATTATAATTAACAAAGGAGTGATAAGTGTAGAGATGAAATTTCTAAACTATTATAAACAATTTAAATCTTATCGTATTATAACATGTACGTAAACTTCAATAACATAATTTCAATTTTCAAACCATGATTAACACGCGTCGCCAGATTATCGCATTGTTCTTTACCTATTTGACGACATACATGAGTAGGCAAAAAGCATTGTAATAAAGTCTCGCCGTTGCTGCTCACCAATAAAACATATCGCGCTTTTATAAAAATAAAAATAAAGTTCAAAAGAGTGTTGCAAAAATTCTTAAAGTTTTTTCCCCGTTCATGTATTTTCAATCGGAAAAGAGAGGAGAGTTCAAATAGCAAAAAATTTTTGTTTTGCGATAAATGAACGTTCGTAAAATATATTTGTCGAAATATTTTTTGCAGTTCACCAACTCACCAATGGTAAATGACACTCGACTATAACATAACCATACGGGACAATACTCGTCTAAAACAGGCCCGTGCATGTAGTTTTCAAACTATTACATTGAAAACATACTAAACGTGTATCACATTTTCATAATTATACTTCAAATATTGTTGTTATATATCCTAAAATTTGAGAACAAATAGGTAGGCTGGTTCCCACCTTTTACACTAAAGTATAAATATTATTTTAATTTTATGTCCAAAACTGTCATAGCATTATAATTGTATCCAATGCATCGCCCTCAAATAAGCGTTAATCAACTTATCACAATCATAAATAATATTAGGTCAAGTATTATTTATAATGTTGCAATGTAACCAATGTACAAGTAATTTAACCGTTTTTCCATCTCTTTGATGACGCGTGTTTTTGTGTTTTTTACTAAAGTTGAATATAATATTTCGTTACAACATGATGCGCCTGTTCGACAATTACGACGACTGCAGCGAAGTGACACGTGAAGTAACAAAACATAGTGGACGAATCGTTTCGATTAAGTTTTCACGTATCACTTTTATGTGCGTCGAAACGGAATGCAAAATTGCAATCAATATTCGAATTTCAAACATAAAACCGAAACCAATAACTATTTCATATCGCTAACATAACTACTTATAACATGGTGCTCGTTCCAATAATGTTGCTTTAGTGATTATAGCAATCCGGTAATCTACGACGGTCGCGGTCGCATTTCTAGGGTTATGCTCTTATACTGCGTTACGTTGGTTGAATTCTCCCGATTAACCCTATTAATTCCATCTTAATGAGGTGCACTGAGTGTGTTACCATTACGCACCTACGTAATTGAACACCGCGATAGTGATGTTGGTGGTCTCGCCGGGGTGATATATTTCACGTCGTGAAAAACGAATAAAGTACGATTTCGACCAATATAAAATTTATTATTTTATTTTTATACACGTTTTATAAATGTATTTTTATTTTTAATTTCTCATAGGTATTTTTTTATCGACCCCCGAGACTCGGTTTTCGTCTAACCGATGCTATTAAAATATGTAAGCGCGAAAATTCGTGCGTGCTCTTTTATTTGTCCCTCCCCCGGTTTCTCTTTCCATTTTTTAACCAAGTAATGCGACCGACCGAAAGGCGCTTGCGTCTCGACGTTGCCCACCGCAGATAAATGAGCAGGATTCCAGCGTGGAGACGTCACAAAGTATTCGTCGCGAATCGCCGGTAGCACGCAGCCGACGCAGGACCACGCCAGGCAACACACCGCACTACCGCCGAAAACGTCACCGATGAAAGCCATTACACTTCTGGCCGCCCTGGCCTGTGTGTTCAAGGTAATTTTGAAAATTTTATTCTCCCATTTTTCTATTTCACCGGTATTCAGTTAGATCGTTTTATTCCATTTATTATTTCCGTGATCACACCCGTTATTATTTTTGTTTTTCCATAACACTCGTATCAACCGTTGTAATATTAATGAACGAATAACGTTTTAGCTATTTAAACTACTTGTTCAAATTCATATTCCGACGAGCTATACACACAATTCAGCCCGTCCTCTATATGGTTTTAAATTTTTAGAATTTTATAATCCATTTTACGGGTGTTAGGGCCTATACGATTTCTTTGAGTATCGATAAATAATAATTAACCTCATTACTGTTTCAATGTTATTGTTTGAATTTTAAATCTATCTTCATTATTTAGTTCAACGCACTCATCTTTTTAAATGTTTCATAACTTTTAAGAAAAAATAAGTGATTAAAAAATAAAACTGAAGGCACTTTCTTTAAAATGAAATTAAAATGTTTTGTAGTAATTATTTATTATTACTTAAATAAATTTCAATTTTAATTGTTTTTCTTAGTTTTTAATTATTTCTTTTCACATCAGGCGGAAAAAAGTTAACAGCAACAGGTGCAAAAAAAAAAAAAAATTAAAATAAACTTCCGAATGCTAATTTATAATAAGTAATATATTATATTATATATTATATTATATATTATATTACTTATTATAAATTAGCATACGGAAGTTTATTTTAATTTTTTTTTTTTTGCAACTGTTGCTGTTAACTTTTTTCCGCCTAATGTAAAAAGAAATAAATGTATAACTTTTAACTACAATTCATATTTTATGATTGTATCAAAATTAGAAATGAATTAGTACCAAGAGTTTTATATATCAATGTATTAATAAATAATTTTTATAATTAAGAATGTAATTAAGTAATTGATTATTCTAAGTTTATTAATTCTCACTCTTAAAATATTTTATCATTTAGAATTTAAAATTACTCATCATTATGTAATAATCAATAATTAATATGCAACGATCATAGCAACAATAAATAAAAGTATACATATATTAGTTATAATTATAAACGATTTTTTTTTTTTTTTTTTGTTTATTCTAATAACACAATAATTATTAAATATACTAAAAAATATTCAACAGTCAATATTGACGTAAAATATTATAATTAACAATCATAATTTAATTTTCAAATTTCACAATTTATAATTTATACAGGCTTTTCAATAAAATCGATTATGATATAATTAAATAATTGTTGGGTAATCACAGTTAATAGAATTAAAATTTCTAAGAAAAGGATATTCCTTCTACTCGTTTAAAAATATAGTATTGAATTATACTTTTTATTAGATTAAAATTCAATTTGGTTTTAAAAAATTCTTTGTTTGAAATTTTTTTTACAAAATTAAACAAATTTATATATTTATATTGTAACAAAAACTAATTATTTGTATTGCATTATAAATACAATTCTAAAAGTTAAATACAAATTTAAAATATTGAAACACAATATTATATTTATTCCATAAAAAAACACTGGAAATATGGAATACCTATACATAAATGAAAGAAGTATGTATATAAAAAAAAACTATAATTATACAATGTAAGCAATTTTAACGATTTTACATAATTAGTATTTAAATATACTTAATAACAATACTTTAAATGGTTTTATATCCAAAAAAAATATTCTAAATTATTATTAATTTGATTTTCTTTATTATTACAATGATATTAAGAAAGTGTTTTTAAACATTTTATAGCTGGAATCACAAGAAACTTAAACAAAAACTGTTATCATTTAATATCCATGGTCAACATTAAATAAAAATAATAGATAGAGTTTAAATTTAAAAAATACTAGGTTTGTATTATTCTTAATTAAACATCAACATTTGATTATTTAGTTACTTCTGATCCTTTAACTAAACTTTAACTTGAATAATACAAATTAGCCCATCAAGATATTTCGATGGAAATATTTCTATGAATATAAGGTTTTTTTTTTTTAAATTGTTTTGATTTATTACAGCATTAGGTTTTCAATAAATTGAACAATTATAGTAGAATTTTAATTTTCATACCTAACCTAGCTGAAGAAAATAGCAGTGACATTTTTGTCTGTGTAAAATTACAAAATAATAGTGCTTTAGCCCCTGTTTTTTATAGATAGTGGGAAATTAACACTAATCTAAAATAATAATACTGAAAACGTCATATTAAAATTGCGTTCATTTACAAAAGACAATATTTACAGAATAAAAAATAACGACCGTGTTCATATGAAAGGTATAGATATTTTAGTTTATTTCACAGAAGTAATAAATAACTACTAAACCTAGGACTATAAAAAATTAATGTTTCGATCTCGAATAACAGTGCAGCCTATGATAATACGATAAAGTTTAATTTTCAACCCTAACCTAACCTAACTACTTATTTTAAGTTTTAATTTTCCAAAAGACTTTTAAGTAAATCACCAAAACGTAGGCAACAAAAGTATGAAATGACACAACTTAAAATCGATAAACTATTTTAGATCTTATATTTTCATATATTTTATGATATATAATGTGTTCGTGGTTCCTCACCAGTTGTCAACACCAAACACTTATTCACAAACATTTTCGTCTAATTTAATTTGTCCCCTCTATATTTTTTCTTTTATTTTTTTACGTTTATACGTTTTAGATAAACATCTTCAAAATTCTGTTCATTACAACTTTGTCCAAATATTTTACACGTAAGTAATATAATTTGAAACTAGTGAACAGTTGATCTGTATTAAGATTTCTTCAACTAACCTGTAGTTGGTCCGTAAATTATAAAAATAATAGTAGTTAGTTAAAAAATTCCTTGTATAATTTGCATTGCAAACAGATGTTCTTTTAGCATTTGAAGATTTCTTTTTATAAGCATCATAGTTCTATAATTATAAAATGTAATAATATTATTTTTATTTGTTTGTTTTATTGTACGTCATATAATTGCTAGAAACACACACTTTAGGATATATTGTGTATTAATACAATTTTATGTGTATGGCCAATTTAAAGGCAAAAAGATTATTATTCTTATTATTATGTTTGTATAATATTACAAAATAATATCTATCCTTAATAGTACATTCCCCATTTATCCAATAATTCTCTAACATGACCTGACTTTATAATACCACATAATTTGATAGATATCAATATTTAATATTTTTATTAACAATATATTAAAATAACATCAATCAATATTTCCGTTTGTATTTTATTAATCGATCAAATTATTTTTTATTGAAAATTTAATTATTGGAACTTTAATTACTGTTATGTTATACTTTTGGTTTTAAAGTACTGTAGAGTCGTTTAAAAATAATGAAATAGAAATGTATAATAAATGTTTATTATATAGAATGATCAATTATTACTTTTGATTGAAATTTACTGAAATTTCATAATTGTTGTTCAGATTGAAATTGATATTTTTAATATTTATCGTACGAGTTTTGAAGATTTTAGTGACGTTTGAATCTGTTTTAAATAATAGCTATATATGCTTTATTTGCACACTTTATAATGTTTAAAAGTACATAATAATATGTATGATAAATAGGAATCCCGAAATGCTTTAGCCCTAAACAGTTGGTTGTTTCTTTATTTGGCACTACTTATGATCCTTCAATAAATAAGTGAAATTGCGTTTGCCGAGTAGTGACAGAAGTAATAATTGTGCCATGCAGCAAACTGGAACTTCATACTTTTGTTTACTAAAAAAAATAACTTATCATCTTGACAATCGATATAAGTTATTATGTGTTTCATTTTTGTCTCATACAAATTACATCGAAAAACTGCGAACTTCAGACTTCTGGACCACAATAATGATTTAAACAAATAATAATTGTATTTTTTCATTCATCAAAAAACAATTTTAAAATTCAAATAAATTCAAATAATAAAAGCATAACATCTTTATGAACATCATATAGCTATAATAATTAGTTATTTGATTAACAGCAACGAAAAAAAAACTAAGTCTCCGGGACCCTTGTAAAAATGCCTTATGGTAAAACAACTAAACAGGCCCTGTAAATTAGAACACAAATAAATGTAGCGAATGTCAAATTTTGAAAAAATAGATATTGTTTAACCAATTGTCATTTTTTTCGATAATGTTTCTGCTGAAAAAAATGGCCAATGGATCTAAACATGTGTGACCAACTTAATACAAAGATTGACCGTTTTTATTTGAATTAATAGTTAGTGTTGTTAATTTTGCCAATACTAATATTTTAAAATGTTCTTTTTTGACATAGGCTGTTTTTAAAATAAGGGGTACTAATTTTGAATTTGTATTTTATTTTTAATTATGTATTCAATATATAATAGTTTTTAAACTATTTTTAATAATTTATATTTATTTATTAATAAATTAATAAAAAAATAAAATTAAAATTGAAAATTATTAAAATTAATATTACTTATTTATTGTTTTATTAAAAAGTTTTAATAATATCATCAATATAATTTTTATAAAATGTATACAAGTTTTCCCTTCTCCAATTTTGATAGAATTCTTATAATTTTTTGAATTAAGTCAGAAATAAAATTGTCATCACACTTGTTAATATAAAAACATTAGATATTTTACTATTTTAAAATTACCAAAACATTATAATTCAGCAATAGCGAATTTATTTTTAATTCTGAATACCATTAAATTATATAAATATATAAATACATTATATTATGTTTTAATATAAAATAATCAAAATCAAACGTGAATCATAAAATAAAATAAAATAATGAAATAATAAAATTAATTACTTTAAAATATTTTATTTACATTAATATTTATATTTTTAACTTTCCTGTCTGTCTCACACATACACACATACATTTATATATATATATATATATCACCCATAGTTCATGAGTGTAAAATATCAAATCCATCATAGGTATAAATCTAAACTTGATGTCGTTAACACTTTATGAACCAAATTATTCAATTCTATCCCCCTCCCCCTAACGTAAGCACCACGAAAAACATTCAATAATTCCATCGCAGTACAATTTTTTCATCTTCATTTATAAATTTTGTACGTATAATAATTTATTCACTAAAAATTAAAATATTTTATAAGAATAATAAATATAATTGTAAAATTTGTTCATTATTTTAAATTATATAGTTAGTTTTTTTAAATTAAAATGTAAAAATAATTATTTTGAAATCATATAAAAAGCAGCTGTTCAAATAAAAAAATAGCTTATGTAAATATCTAAGAGAGAAATAATGAAAACATTTTTATAACAAAGGGTATTAATAAATTACGTATAGTAAATTATTAATGTTTATTTTAATACCTGCTTAATGGCTAATCTCTTCTTGTACTACCCTTTCTTTATAAAAAAAAAATATTTTCTCTAAAACATATTATGTATGTATACAACATATTTTTCGACATGACTAATATATAAAGGTATAAAAATATAAATAAATATGAAAAACGCTCCCTAAGGATTATATGAAAATACTTTTAAAATTCTTATATTGAAAGTCTACAACAATGGAACCTTTGATGTGAGTTATTTATAAATGAATGTATGAATATGTCTAAGATTAAAAATGTAATGTCGGCAGTTCCATTTGAGCAAAGGATCATCACCTTTCAAGTTTCAACAAGTAAAAAACCAATAAATGAAAATATGTATTTTTTTGGTCAGGATATATTATATTAAACATAATATTATACTCATAATAAGTAAAGAAATTGTTCTCTTTTTAAATAATAAATTCGTCGTTTGACACTACTTAAATTTTGAATAAATGACGGTTTGTTTTAGGTGGTAGTGATAAATCATTAACGAATAAGGTTTTCAGTTAAAATATAAATCAAAATAATAGAATAAAAAATATATTATATCATATCTAACACATACAGATTATCTCCAACTTAATAATACATTTTTATAAGTCAAGCAACGTTGAGAAATGGTGAAACCCGTAACGATTGTACTGGAAAAATCATTCGATGATATTAAAAATTTAAAAATATTTCTAGACGTTAATACATTGTATACATTGATAAATGATCGTCCATCTTAATATAAAATTTATATTTTATACTTATTCTCAACTGAAATACATAATACGATCAGAACATTAATAAGTAAAATATATTCTAAGAACTGGGATCCAGAATAGCGGATGATACAATATTTTATAGTTGAGGAATGCGACCCATATATAATCATTTGGTATAATAATGTTAAAGTGATAAAAAAAACGTGCCCAAAACGTAATTTTAACGCAAACTTGACATGGTCACGGGTTTCGTGATAAATTGAACATTTTAGGTTGCTTTCAATACAAATATATAGTTTAGAGGAGGTCAATGAAAGAAATAAATGAATATTGTCTATCATGTAATAAATGAAAGTTATATTTTGGCAGGTTTCGCATGGGTTCCCGTTCAACTTCAATAAAAGGAATTTAGATTCTCTGGCTAGAACCGGACAGTTACCAGAATACAAACGATCGTTGGCTTCCCTGGCTAAAAGTGGACAGTTACCCGAAAAATTGGTACAAGAGAAACGAATGTTAGATGTATTGGAACAAGCGAATAATGCTAACTCTAAAGCCATTCAAGAACAAAGAAATCGTGTTGTTGAGGTATATTTTACGTAAAATAGTTTAAATACATATTATTACTTATTTAAGCATTAAACAAAATAACAATACATTTATGGTAATGATTTATGTAAACATTTGTTTAGATTCATAGGTATATTATGAGATTTAACCAAGCCAAAAAAATGTCCCACTTGTATAAAAATCTGATAACGATAATTCATCGTTTAAAAATTTTATTATACAATATCCAAACTGAATTAAATTTACATACGTCATATTTTCAATATAATAATAATACAAATTATGTGTATTATTTCATAACTTATTCACACTAAAATAGTACCTTCCAATGGTGCAAAAAATTTAACGACAGATTATTTATTATTTATTAAGTAATAAATGGACGTATTTAATATTAATTTAATTTCTTAAATGTTTTGTTACAATTATGGTAGCCATTTATTTTTTATTGACGATGAAAATCAAGGACACTTAAACATGACATTAATACAAACATTCTATTTAACTAAACGTTTATTATTAATCAAATATTTGAATTTGTTGTCATCCTAATGGTACCAAACACTTCAACAGTATACATAATATATTTTTCTCATTGAAATAAATTCAAACAAACGCTGCTTGTTTATAAATTTTACATTTATTATAGTTTTTTATAATGGTTTTGTGGGGATTTGATTTTGAAGGAATTAAAAAACTATGCTCTATATGGAATGTCTAAGAGACAAATAACTGCAGAACCAGATTTCCGTGATGAATTCAAATCAGATTTGCGGAACATATTAGACCAATATTTGAATAAATTCGGAACGACATATGATCCAGAAAAGGTGGAACTATTTCTAACTAACATGGCAGATGAAGTATTTGACAACCATGGTGTAGTGTCATTGGACCACATTCGATTTCTGATCGAGACCGGTTACTTCCAGCCGGAAATGCGCGAAGAAGACGATGTAAAATCAGCCGATGGAGACTCGTCACTAGACCATTATATCGCTAAACGTTTCATGGCTTCACTTGCTCGGAATGGTAATATGCCGTACTGGTCCAACAATCCAAGATACGTCGCCAAACGGTACATTTCGTCTCTGCTGAGACAAGGAAGATTACCTTACGGGTTCCAACCAACCACCGAGTCATCGACGAAAAACGAAAATTGGAATTCACAAGACATTCAAAAGCCCAAAAGAAATGATGCGACGTATCAAAACGACGAAGAATTCATACCCGTGATGCAAGGAAGTAAAAGCCTACAGAGCATTATCGACGACTTGACACAAGATCCTATACAGAAGAGATACTTGGGTGAGTATTAAATTAATTAATTATATATACCAATAGTAGTTTAATGCTATTAATGTATTATGAATATACTTAAATAATTAGATTCATACAAACGTGATATTTCTGGAATTGTTTTTGAATTCTGATGTTAATTATTACTGAATACATTTAATTGGAACAGGGAATAACATTTATGTGATTCTTAGCATGACTATTATTTGTCATCCTAAATCCTCCAGAACGATTAAGAATCGAAATAAAATCAATGTTGCGTATCTTGTAGCCAATTCCTCCAGTCACTTTGTATGCAGTCTTTTTATTCTTATAAAAAATTGAATTTAGAAAAATGTGTGAAACATATTGTGAACATGCAGAAGAATTTTATTTTTTATATGCTACTTGATGAGTCTTTTTAGATTTTCATTGATTAATTGCTTATACCTATGAATACCTATACCGTAACAGGAATCATTGTTGACAGTGTGTTTTAGATATAAGATGAACTCTAACAATGCTCTAAAATATAATTATTTTTTAGAAGCAAAAAATAACTATTATTAATAACAGAAAAAAATTGGTGTTGAAAAATACTTCGAATGATCTTTTACGAAGTACACTTTTTAATTAATTTCATGAGAGAGAATGTTAAGCAAACAAGTGCTCAACAAATGTAAAGTGAAATTTTTATTTTAGACCTAATCGAATATTAAAATCAACTGTGATCATCGTTAAAGTTCATCATATTATGGAAAAGTGTTCTGACCATTTGCATGCGTTTTCATATTATCTAGTTATTTTACCTTTCGATTGATTCAAATAAGTACACGTAGAAAAATCTATACTGTATTCTATAGTACCTACAAAAATAATAAATACTTATTATATATTCACCCACATTAAAATATTTATTATACCATACATAAATTCATATATTTTCTAAATGTATTCTATATATTTGTTCTAATTTTGAATTATTTAAATAATTCACAGAGGAAAAATCATAGGTTTTTTTTATTTAAATATTCATTATTATATAACCGAAAAATAATCATTTTTTAATATTATGTTTTCAGGCGTAATAATATATTAATATAACTTAAACACCTACTTTTCATATTATATTTTTCGTACATTGAAGTATTTTCAATATTGTCACATGCATAACTCATTTATATTCCTTTAAAATCTATCGTTTTATTCGATAAATAAAAGTATACATGTATCATGTAAATAGATAATTATAATATTTTTCGTCAGTTAAACATTTTTTTATTATAATATTAAGATGCATAGTAGTAAAGTTATACAAAAGATTTATGTTAACATTATGAACACTTGAATAAGACTATTAAAGGAAAACCTCATAACTCGATGTAACTAGTGTGAAGTATATAATTTTTCAAGTTTATGATTATGGTATGTTGAATTAAGAATTTGTTCTCTAAAAGTATGTGTATACGTTGAAAACTAATCTGAGTAAAATTATAATCACTACACTGTTGCCGTATTGTATTTCCTGCAGGATGTTATTTTTATAGTGTCAGAAAATAATAAAACGTGAAACAAAATTAACCATTTATCAAACATAATTTTAGATAGTATTTATTTTCAAAGTACCATAATTATATTCATCTCAAAGTAGGTATTTTATTTACCCATTTAAATACTTTCAGTCTAAAAATCTAGGAGTCGGATAAACTATAGTGATGGAGATCACAATAGGTACATAATTACTATCTACCAATGCAGTAAAATGCACAAAAATAATTTAGAAATATTTGCGTGTTACTCATAATATTATATTGTTAAGTAGTATATATATTATACTTAATTGTAACTAGGAAGTATACGTAGTTTGAAAATTAATAGTTATATGACATGTGTTTAGATGCTGTTGCTTATGCATACTCTATGTATTATTGTAAACTGTATTTAGAATCTAGAACGCATTTACTTCTTGTGTGTGGTATATAGGTATAGTGTATCGACGCTCCAGCTCAAAGTAACAAAGACTTATCAAATGATATAAACACATTTGATGTATTGTATATGGAAAAAATTAAAAATCTTAAAACGATGATAAAGCTATAATCGGACGAGCGGCTTATATTAAGCTTTTTTTTGACGGAAAACTGTGATTTCACAAGGCTGAGAATTTACGAGTTAATTGATATTTATACAATATTTAATAAACCGAGTTATATTTTTTTTCCATGCAGCTACTGATATTGATTGTTGATGACTGTTGATTGATAGTACAGTCACGTTAAGTTAATTTTTGTACAAATCGTTGTTTTAAATAAATATAATCATATTTATAATCGGGGAAGTGTTGAACACACGACTTCTGGATTTCAGTAGGGATTGATAAAACGTACACAAATATAGTTTTTATAAAATGTACAGACCGTGTGTTTCTAATAAGAAAATACGAATTCAATCCGTAACTTTCACATGTTCGTAAAGAATACGAGTCGCTTCTGACATTGAACTCGACTCGCGTCTGTCTAGATCAACTGCGTACGAGTTAAAGCGATAAGTCAACTTGCCCGGCCTTGAAACGATCGCGCATCACAACATCCAGATCGTTTAACACATCATTTCCAAAACCGATGTTTCGTTATTCGGCCAACCGGAACGTCGATATCGTCCGATAATACGTGAACGACAACCGTGCCTAACACGAGCGTAGAACGTATATTATTATTGTCTGTGTTGCCGTGCGTGTGTACCGTAGTTTTTCTGTTTTCTTTATGTTCGTATCCGTTTGCGTTTTCCGCCTGTGTGTGTGTATGTGTGTATGTGTACGTAAAACAGTAGCGGAGGCGTTTGGCTACTCGTCCGCCGACCGTTCGCGTCGTCACAACGACGGTGCGGCCCCCGGACAACCCGCGCTAGCTGATGGTGCGTGTGCGTGCAGGTGCGCTGTCCCGCAGTGGATGGATACCCCGAGGATTCGCTTCGACGTCGTCGCGGACGTCCCCGTCTCTGTCATCGTCGTCGTTGTCCGCGTTCCATTCGTCCGGCACCGGCAACGGATACGGCAAACGGCACCTGGCCGCGCTCGCCCGACTCGGATGGTTGCCGTCGTTCAGGAACCCGCATTCGTTTTACATGCGCAACGGCAGAGGGTCGTCGTTCCAGTGCGACATAAACAAGAGGATCGCACCAGCAGCCGCCGCCGGAGCCGCCGAGTAAGCCCTTACACGTTTAAACGTAGTGCGTGTGCTTGTGTGCGTGCGTGACGTGACGTGTTCAAGGGAGAGGGAGCTAAGAGAGCTGTAGACCCCTCTCCTGGTGGGTCGTGTTAGTTAATGTACTACACTAGTACACCACTGTTTGGAATTTAAGTATTTTAAAAACTTCGGGATACGTAAGCGTATTACTTCAATCGCGATTACTACTATATTTTTAACGGTTATTACGAACGATGCGGCGACTCTCGTCCACCATTTTATAATTGCTACAGTTTTTATACCATGCTATGTCGCGACGACGCTACCGCAGGTAACCACCGTTCGTTTATTTAGATATATTATTATCTTTTAAACACCTCTAGTGGTAATATCGTCTGTGCGTCTTGCAAACGAACACTTACAACTTGTGCATAAAAAATTCTTATTAGCTAGATCTTTTATTTTCATTTTTACTATTGAACAGCATTTACTTATTATTAGTATATTATAAATACGTGACTATTTCATTGTTTTGAACATCGGACTGTATTACGAGCGTGACATGTGTGAGAAAAAAATTTAACGATCGTGGTTTACAATCGTTTTCGATTTAAATCTAGACCATAGTCGTCTAACCCGTGATATGATGTTTATTTTATAATATATTGGTCTTGGGATGTTTCACATCATTTTTTTTTCCTTTTTTTATTTATTTTAAATATATTCAATCTGTTTACAAAATAAAAACAATGAGTAATAAGGATGACTTTAAGGATAATTTACAAACATGAGTCACGTGAAGAGGATCATTAACAGAACCTCAGAAATTTTTTTTTTTTTGCTATTTTAAGAGATTCTAGACCCGTTTCTTTTTAATCGACAAGAAATTTGTGATAACGCAAAAGAGGACATGTTTCGAATGAGGGGGTTTATGTGATTTATTAATTTTAAATGGAAACTTTTGTAATGGCTTTTTGCAAGCTCATTCACTGTTTGTATTTCTAGATCATTACGGAGGGCTGCATTTGTTATGTACTATGGAGGTGATAAGTCATAGGGTAATTGATTGAAAGACTTAAATAGGGTGAATGTTTGCGGGTTTAGCTGGGACCCAAATTTGGATACCATATGGCCATACTGGCCTGATAATTAATTTTTATAGGAGTAATTTGTTTTTGAGACTCAAGTTTGATTTTAATAGAGGTCTACGTAGATGGAGACGAGAGTTTAGTTGTTTTCGTTTTTGCTTGGTGTGGTTTGACCAGGTCAACCTTTTACCCAGAGTTATACCTAGTTGTTTGGTTGACTGGTGAAATGGAATTAGTTTGTTATTGATTTTTAGTGGGGGACATTCTCTTTTGTTTATTGAAAAATTCACTTCAGTTGTTTTTTCGTCATTGATTTTAATTTTCCAGTTTTTGGCCAAGATTCTATTTTATTTAGATGTGAATGAAAATCTTGAGATGCGATATTAGAAATATTATTTGACGAAAGTATTGCTGTGTCATCAGTAAATGAGATGAGAAGAATTTGGTTTGTTGTAGATATATCAGCGGTGAAAATATTATAGAGTATATGTGAAAGGTTAGGTTAAAACTCCAGTTTTAATATTATGAACAGTTGAATAACTATTTTTTGACGAATGGAAAATTACCGATTTTCACATCAATTAGTAAAACCATTAATAACTAGTACGACTTGTAAGAAAAAATCTATACTGATCATACAAAACTATAAAAGTGTGTTTATACATATATATATAAAGATTTATTCCGTCTAGACTATCTTACTTTTACACTTATATACGTGTAGAAAACGAAGCACACAATAATTACTGCTCGCTCAAACCCATACTTCCTAAAATGTTCCAGGACGCAACTGCTTTAGACGTGCAGTTTACTTTTTACTTTTACTTTTTATGACACGTGACGTGAAACAGAGTCAAGATTGGATATTTATTTATTTTTTTTTATTGTCATTCGTAAACGAAGCGCCGCCAATGTACGGAAACAACAGACAGAATTTCATAAAAAGACCCAATTTCGTACGTTCTGTATTAGATTTTTAATAAGCGCTGAAGAAATGTTCACTGGTCTACGATTTGGGATGTCATTTATTTTTTTTTGCTCTCCAAAAACGCTATTCTATTAGAGCGTCGATGACGTATCATGTTTGTTGTTTATGATTTCACGTGCATATAATTGGTTATTTTTGTAAATTGTATTGTAGTTCTTAAAATAATAATTTCATCTCTATCTTTATCAAATCTTTTTTTTTCAACGATTTTTCTTCTGAATTTAGCCAAAAATACTTTTTCACTAATAAGTTATAAATACCCATTAAAACTATAATGATTTTGTGTGAAATACCTCAAGCAAAATTTTAGTTTATTATTTCATCGCAGACACATAAACATCCTACACGTTCTGCGCTTGCATATTTCATCTGCGATTAAACTCCATAATAAAGATGAAAAAAATAATAAAAAAATAATTATTGGAATTTAGATCACTAAAATATACTAATAGCATATGTGATTGCTGTTTATCAAAATTAATTTGTATTTAATTGAATCCGTAAAGTTTAATTTTTTCTTAAATGATTTATGTGATTTCATTATACCCGAATTTCTATTTCAAATTTTATCCATTGTTCCTTAATAAATTTTCTGATAAAATGAAGAGTTCAAAATAAAATGGTTTAAATTTACCATACTAACCACTAATTGGATGTAGTAGTTCTTATTAGTCTTTACAGTACATACTATTTTCACCGAAAATCATGTATTATACACTTTTTGTTGAGCAGTCTGTCAGAAATAATGGTAAAAATTTCCTCAGCCTTGACTTTAAAAATTTCTTCTATTCATTTCGTCTAAGAGTTCAATAGTTATACTTTAAGCTCTACATCTTATTTAAAAATAAATTCTATTACAATACTAACGTATCAATAGTTTTCTTTTTATTATATTCATTTAAATATGATGGGAACTTAAATTTGCATGACTGCTGTTTATAATGCTATTAAATGAATAAATGACAAAACTCAAAAATGTTACTGAAACCATGTACGGATTGTTTAATAAAAAAAAATAATACACGATGAATAGATTTATTTTCTTTAAATGTACTTATAAGACGGCGCTTTGTATAGGCAATATTAGAGTATTTTTGTATTTATGCTTTTTAGTAGTATCATTGAATAATCAGTACATTATTATTAATTATTAGAACGTTACATTAACATTAAATATTTTTTTCTAAAGTACTAAATTATGCACATTATAATATATGTATAAATTGTTAACAGAAAAAATTTAATAATATAATTGTCATCAATATTCGAGGAAATAGTTGATTATGTTGCACATAAAACTTTAAAACCTATATAGAAATATAGTGCTTCCAAATCTCTTAAATAATTAATTATTAATATAAGGCCAAACAACTAAGGATTTTCAATCCTTATAACAAAAAATTACTTGTTTCGAACATTATTTACGAGTTTTATTTTCTTGCGTTTGCACATTGAAAAACTGCAAAGAAAGCTAAAAAATTACCAGTATAAAGTACCATTGATATGTGAAACTTCCAACTTATCAAGTATCTGCACAAAACTCTTTATTTAGACATTGATGTAGACTTTTTGAAAGTTAAATTACAGAAAAATGATTAACACATACCCTATTTTCCTTCTACACGTTTATGTTGTATGATGTAACATAAGGTACAAAATTAGAAAAGTAGATTTGACCACAGATACAGTGTTTGTCCTCCATCACTTATATAAATCCACAAACAAAACAAAAAAATATTAAGGATACAGTACTTTTAACCAATTTTTAACTTTGAGAGTATCAAAAACGACTAATTTTTATAGTTATGTATTATGTATTAGTCTTTACTTCAATACGTGACTTAGTCACGTCAGAAATATTTAATTTTTCTTCAGTTTCGATGTGTAAATTCATTAAATACACATTTTCAGTATCTAATATCGTAATAATTTAAAATCAATTTTTTTTTGTTTAATTGAGGAGTTTATTTTACTCTACTAGAAAAAGGCCATTACATAGAAGTTATGTATAATCTATATATTAGTTTGAATAATACATTTCTCATTTTCGTAGTGTAAGAAATAAATGATAATTTATAGTTAAAATTTTTAATTTGTACATCATACAATGACTTCCAAGTACATGCTCAACTCTTGCAAAATTCAATTCACAAGATCTGTAGATACTGTTCATATTATACACATACTATTGTATACTATACATTTATATCTTTGGTCAATTTTTTTTTGATTTTCAAAGAGAAAATAGAAAATAATATTTTGAAAACACCACAATAAGTAAAATGTATAAAATCAATAAAATAGTTAAATTATTATTACATCTTCATAAATTAATGTATACGATTAATTATCAATACTATTTTAACATTATAATTTATTTGAAAAAATTATTATTTATATTTGTTTTGTTACATTTGATCGTTGATTAATTACCAATTACTTCAGAGTAAAATGTTAATTTGAAACAAGACTTTCAATTATTTCTTTGAAAGTATATTTTTAAATAAAGACTCTATTCGTGAAATATATGATAAAGTTCAAACACGCATAGTATACTAATAATTTTAAAAGCGTTATTACTTCATTTCATCTTAACACTTTTTTATTTCTCCGTTTTGTATCTCGTTTAACGACTTTTAAATAAAAGGACTACATTTAATATAAAAATCCCTCTGAAGAATGCATTTAATTAACCAAAGGCTTAAGTTTCAATGAACAATTTGGGTTTGAATTTAATTAAAGCAGTTATAATCCAAGAAAAAATGAACTCTAAAAAATACTATTTCAACCAAAATTAAAAAATAATTTTAATATTACTGCATTAGTTTTTTTTTGTTTTTTGTTTTCCCAATAAAATTTACCACGATTTTCTTAAAAAATTAATAACAACCAAATGCAAATATTATGAATTTATTAACAGTATCTGAAATCAACATCTATTT